TTTAGTTTAATTTACATATTAGTCATAGTTCAATCATAAAATCACAAAAATAATCATATTAGTTTAATAGATTCGGTTAAGGCCACGATAATAGAAGTCAAGTTAAATCAATCCTCGTGGGAATGATACTCGATCTTGAATTTCCACTTTATTACTTGTGAACGAACCGTGCACTTGTGGTGATTTAAATTCGAAACATATTTTCGTGAACATCAGCCCACCTTTGTCTTCTGCGGTGGGACTTCAGCTTGCGACCAGCTCCTATACCACGTGTCTTCCTGTATGATCATGTCAGCCACAATGCGGATACACCGCGCACACGGGGTCTCCGCATTGCGCGGAGACACTGAGGCAGTAGCTCCACACAATGCGGAGACAACGCGACACATGGTGTCTCCGCATTGACAATGCGGAGATACCGAGGGTGTGCCTCCGCACAATGCAGAGTCACACCGTCTCTCTACTCCTATTTCCGCACCTCTCATGAACTGCCAATGGTACTTAAATTAGTGTTCTTTAACTGAAAATTACCTCATCTTTTACAAGTGCACCATATTTTAATTGCATTACATAATATTCATCATCATCATCACCACATTCTTGTCCTTAATATATATATTTAATTAATTAGCTTGTCATTGATAATCGGCCAAATATTTGTTTAAGATGAAGTACAAAGAGTAAATAAATAAATAAACAATAAATATTTATGCATGTTTTAAAGCACATTAACATTATAACCAAAAAACTGAAACAAAAAACTGCAGTAATAACAGAGAACCTTATGGGGAAAAAATAGCAAACCTTGAATTCTCTAGCTCCCTCTCTATTTTTGCAGAAGAAGGTAGTACTCTGTTTGAATTCGAACATTGCTTTTGTTTTCGATGAAGAAATAAGTTGATGAATAATATGTTATTTCTTCAGATTCATTAGAGTTATAAAAGAAGTTGAAGAAGAAAATATGTACTCTGTTTGAATTCTTGGGCAGACCTTTGCTTCTGTTTGTAATGGAGAAGAAAGAAATTGATGAATAATATGTTATTTCTGGAAATCAGTAGAAATAGAAGAGTTGAGATAGGAAAAGTGAAGGAGGAGGAGAAACCAGGTATTTGTGAAGTTGTTATTATTGAGAGTCGGTTCAATTAAAATTGAGAAGAAAGCCAGTCAACAATTGTGGCTATCACGGTAGAAAAACCAGAACCAAACCAGTTAAGTGTGAAATGGAAGGTGCAAAAATGAACAGTG